ACAGTCATATACACACACAGGCAACAGACAACCCAGTATCACTTTCCCCGAGATCTCCGTTCACATCCGAGCCAAGACCGCTTTAGCCTGGGGCGTTGCATAAACTCAGCCACCATCCTGTCCAAATGATTTACTAGTGGAACTAGAAACTTGTGTTTGACTGTGTGAATTATGGTTCGGTTCACCTCGGCAAAGCACACCCCGTAAATAAAGGCGGCTGACTGCCTTTCAAAGGCACCCCGATCAAGTCACCCAGGATCGTTTTTCAAACGGCTAGCGCGCTTTCCTCTTTCTCCCACTTGGCCTGCGGGTTTTTTTAAAACAACAAACAGAAAAAAACTTGGCGGGGAAACCCGCTTTCTCTTTAACGGGAATCTGACCAAGGAGGCTCACTCCGCCGAGCAACCGCAGCCGCCAAGGGGGAGAACCCAAGCTCCGCCCGAGCAAAAAACGAGCAGGTGTCTGGTCACCACGTGGGTTTGGAGATGCTGATTTGTTGTACCCGAACCAACTTGGCCGCTCGGATCCGAAAGTCTGTCGTACGTTCCCGGCCAGCGTTCATTTACCCCAGTTCTCCCTTCGGTCCCTTTATTCCCCGCCAAGATCCCACCGAGGAGGTGAGGCGGGGCGGGCCCTTCAACGTACCTTTGGCGTCTGCCCTCCTTCGGGGCCCGCCGCTTCCAACTTCCTCCTGGCCCCGAGAAAGAGAAGGAGAGCGGCGATCCACAAGATCCCCAGGACAGACAACGCCAGCCTTCGACTCATCCGCCTCATCTCTAGTTTGGAGAAAAGCGAGGAAAGCGGCGGAGCAGGGGGAGAGAAGAGGGAAACAAAATAAAGTCTTCTGCCTTTGGAAAAGCGGTGAGGCGGGGCGGGGTTGGAGCTGACCGGCACGCTTCCCGCCCCTCTTAAGCGGGCAAGAGCGCTGCCGGCGGGATGAGTTCGGGCGAGCCCCGCGAGGGGCACGGGCGAAGTAACCACCTCCACCCCGCTCCGGAGCCAGCCCAGGAAAGGACGAAGAGGAGCGGGAGCGGCGCTGGCAGTCCCGGGCCGTCCTCCCCGCGTGGGGTTGGCGGGGAGGGAAGGAGAAAGCTGGAGTGGGAGGCGCCAGGGGGTGGGGAAACGGACCGGGTGGGTCTTCCAGCCGCGGATCGGAGAAGAGCAGGCCACCGGCGGCTCTGCCTTGCTGCCGGGTTCCCGGGCGTCAAGGGAAGGGAATGATCCCTCCGTGGCTCAAGCCACTGCCATCAAGCGGGAGAATCTCTACCCGGGTGAAATCCCGCCCGCAGATCGGTCCGCCGCACTTCCTCCTGCCCCGCGCACTCCCGGGCCGAATCGACAGCCAGGCGGGTTGGCTCGTTTTCGCTTTGCCTATTTATCCCTTCCCCAGGTCGAGCTCGCCCGCCGGGGAACGGCTGTCTCTCGAGCCGCCTCCTGCCCTCCGCTTCGTTGCTGCAGCTCTTCGCCGCCGCGTCGCGCTGCCACAATCCCCGCGAAGGATTGTGATCGCCCGAGCCCGTTTGGGGAAGACTCCGGCGGGGGATTGGCGGCGAGCGAGAGGAGGGAGAAGACCTAAAAGAGGCCAGCTTCAAACTCGGGGCCGACGCGGACTCAAGCTGGCTGAGTTGGGATCGGGCTGAGGGGGCCAAAGGCGGCAACTTTGGAGCGAGTTCGGGAAGAAACGCCTGACCCTGCATGGGCAGGAGGGAAAAGGAAAGCCGTCTGTGAGGAAAATATGCGGTTTGACTGAGGGCGGAACAACTCGTGGCCCGTCTTCACGCACTTTGGTGTTTCCTTTGCATTGACGCGCCCCGCTTCAGAGGATGGGGCGAAGAGCAGCTGGGGGCGAAGTTTGTGTCAGATTACATCTAAACCCTCGGGCACCCATCCTCGCTGCGAGTCAGCTAGTTATTTCAAGATGAAGCATGCGGGGAGGGGAGGGGGAGAATAGCCTCAAGTTGCACAATTTTCCCGGTTCCTCATCCCGCCCTCGCCTATCCTTTGCCAGTTATTACACCAATGCGGGTAGTCAGGGCAGTCAATCTAAAAACACTTCTTTGGCTTTACTCCGTGGCAGGCAGTAATACTCACATGCCTCCCTTCATGAGAGGCTGGGGGGGGGGTGTTTCTCCTGCTTGATTCCCCCTTTGAGGGAAGGTGTGGACCGAAGAGGAAAGCGCTCCAAGCATATGTGGTACCCTGTATTGCAAGTTGCTGCAGCATCTGGAGTACTTCCTTTGCATAATCTCCTGTGGTCCCTGAAGGAAGAACCACAAGGAGAGGCTGCCTGCAGAGGCACAGCTTGAGAAATAATTCTTCTTTTAGGTAGGGCTGGCAGACTCCAAGCTTGTGGCATCTTGTCTTTGCTGAAAAGTCATTTATTCAGAATTAAAGACTTTTAAGCCAGAAATCTTACTTCAACCACCCAAAATCAAATGGGGGTTCACATCCTAGTTGCCCATTTTATGACTAGTATTGCTATTTCAGCAACAATATTTGGGGGAGGGGTTGCTTTGTTGCTCTTACTGTTAAATAATTTGAAATCCAAAATCCTGATTAGCGTATAGCAAGATCAACAAAACTGACTGGTTCACACAGTCAGTTGCCACTTAACATGCAGGCTGAGGCAGATGGGTCTAGGATGCTCCAACATTGTTACTAATAGCCCATCAATAGTAAATTATCCAGGGATGCACTAATAAATCCGGATCTACCTTCTGCCTCTTCTAACAACATTTCATGATGTTTCTACAATAACTAGCAACAATTGATAACTTTCTGGTTTGTGATGAAGAGAGAATTTCCAGTGCACAGAGGTCTTTTGTGTTTAATCATTTTTGTAATACTTGCGCAAGGCATTTGATACATCCACTACTATAAGGAGGATCCAATTATACTTTCAAACTTAAAAGCACTTTCTTACTTGTTTGCCTGGAGAGAATTCTTCCTTTACAGGCCTAAAGTGAGTAGTAAAAGGACTCACTTTATTCCAGGGCAATAGATATTTTTCTTTGCTTTTCTCCGTTTTTTTTTTTTTAGTTACATCAGTGTTACCAAATGAAAATGCAGTGAAATCACATATAATATTTTGTGATATTTGGTGTCGAACTATCATTTTATGCTTTAAGAAAAAATAAATTGCTGAGAAAAAAATAATTGGTTGGGAAAGCTTAAAAAAATCATTTTTCCCAGCAGCATAGTACAACTTTATTTTATTTACTTCCATGAAGATCTATTCTGCAATACTATTTGTTGTTGTGAAATTTTGTAGCAAAAAGATATAGGGTGCCTTTTTTATTTTGTTAATGCATAAATTAAACAAATTATGCAGACAAAAAACATCCAAACATTTTGTTGAGAAAAATTACATGCTTTTCACACCCAAGATACAGTTGCTTTTATATTCCATCTCTTATTTTAACAAAAACAGCTGTTTAACATTTCCGATTACAGTTAAAATATAGTATGAAGATTAATTTGCTCAATTGAAACAGCAGGGGGAAATTCAGGTAGGTGGAATTTAATTACTGGATTTGGAAAGGAGGATGTGAGCTTTTAAAGCTGTCAGAAATATTTAAAAATAAAATCTTCAACAGCAGGGGTGGGATTCTACCAGTTCTGTCCACTTCTGTAGAACCGGTTGCTCTGAAAAGCAGCAAATATAATACATAGAACTGGTTCTATGTCTGCTGCTGTTTTGGCCCACCCGCCAGCCCGGGCTGTTACCTGACCTTTATTTCCTGCTTTTTCAACCGCAGCTGCTTTGTGCGACACAGATGCGGTTGAAAAAACAGGGGGAAAGGGCTTTTCCAACCATTGTGCACTTGCACGCAGCATTGCTCAGCTGTCCGGGCAGCTCAGCAGGTTGTAAATTGCACTCGCACAACTCATGCATGCGCACGTGACACAGAGCGACAGAACCGGTAGTTATACCGGTCAGATCCCAACCCTGTTCAACAGGGAACAAATTTCTTTCCAGAAAACCTAAAAAATACCAATAGGTGAGACACCTAGTAGCTAAGTGTCTGTGGCAGTAACATTACCTTGGAGGGGCAAACAAGCACGTTCCCAAACCATGTTGATTCATTTTTAGAGATGTATATTCGATACAGCCAAATCAAGCTATTTTAGAGTTCTTAGATGGCTGTCCAAAAATTGAGTTCTCTATCAAGTGACAAAAACAATTATGTGACAATTATGATGTCATCATTTGGTAACTTCCAGGCATAATACTGCATGAGGCAATGTCTATGTCTAGTCTAGAAACTTAATTCCAAAACAGATATCTGACAGAATGCAAAGACAATATTATATTTTTCCCATAAGCATTGCTAATTTGTTCTGGACTGATTTTTATCGTTAAATCCATGTAAAGAAGCTTGCAATTATTTTCAACCTCGTGTTAATTTCAGTACAGTTAAACATTGCAACAAAATGTAATGTTCCTCCAATAGATTTGACTACACTTGTAATTTCATTCAGAAATTTTTCACAATAAAAGTTATAGCCACGTATTAATTTCCACTAGAAGACATAAAGCATTTTATATCCAAAATGTGCTTTATTGTATTTCTCTTTGGGTCTCCTAATAGCTCCAAGTTTGGCTGTTAAGAAGTTTGATTTCTAACAGTTGCAGAATGTTGTGGCAAAGGCAGACACCAAACCTTGTGTTATTTGAATAAACTATTTTGAGATTTATTTTACCTTTGATTAAAATCAAAAGGCGCTGTCTGGAATTCAATTTCAATAAATTAACAGAAAGTTGGTGTTCATTTAGGGAGCAATTGTAAACTCTAAACCTCTGTTTGATAAAGTGTCATATCTTCCTCAAGTTTAAAAATCAAATTGCAATCAAATCAAAAACATCAAATATGCTCCTATTTCAAAATATACTTTTTACACCTATAGTATTGCAAGTATCATGTGAGCAAAACTTTTCCTCATAGGACTAGTGTCAGTGATAAATTAGAAACTGAAACAGATGTGAGATTTTTGTACTAGCAGGCAGACTAGAGAATGAAAGTCCATAAAAATCTCAAATAGTTCATAAGCCAATGGAGGCAGAGACAGAAATATGATGAAGCCATAACATTCTATACAGACCAGTGCAATCCTTTCTACCATTACTTTTCCTTATTTGCTTCTTGTTTATTGATTATTTGCATTCCCCACAACCCACCAATTATCACATTAAATTATCACATTAAACAATAAGAAAACCTACGCACCAATTCCATCTGTGCTTTCTACAATTTTGTAAACAAACTAAAAGACTCAAGGTCCATCCCACCCCTGAAAGGACCTAATGGTAAAGACTGCAATGATGACACCATTAAAGCCAACCTCTTTAACACATTCTTTGGCTCAGTATTTGTAAACAGCAATGGATCATGCTCAGTATTTCCTAGTTGAACCACAGACAACTACAATGATCTAATACATATCGATTTTACAGAAGACAATGTTGAAAAAGCACTATACAATTGGAAACCATCTCTGTCTATTGGACCGGATGGAATATGTGCCTACTTCTTTAAAAAGCTACCCACTGCCATAGACGAACCTCTAAGCATAATCTTGAAAAATCTTTCAGGACCAGCTCCTTGCCAAAACTATGGTCACAAGCCACGGTCATCCCCATCTTCAAAAAGGGAGACTCCAGCCTAGTTGAAAATTATAGTCCAATCTCTTTATGCTGTGTCACTTGTAAAGTCATGGAATCAATTATTAACCAATCCATTATCCTCCACTTAGAAACAAACAACCTACTCTCTAATAAATAATTTGGTTTTAGGAAAAAACTATCATGTAATCTGCAATTCTTACAGTGCAAAAACATATGGACTACACAACTCGATCAGGGCCAAGCAATAGACACAATCTACATAGACTTCTGTAAAGCCTTTGATTCAGTGGTACATGACAAACTACTAAAACTAAAATCTTATGGTGTCTCTGGATACCTGTATAACTGGATAGAAGCTTTACTGTCAAACAGACAACAAATGGTCAAAATT